AATTAAGATCTATGTTTCCAACATGGTGACTAAAAACTCCAATTGATTAATATACAGTCTATGAACAAAGCCCTTGTAAATTCCATATAATATTAAAGCACTGCAATACTTTTAAGTAAAACTTCAATTCGAGTTTGTATTGTAAAAAAAAGGAGTGATGTAGGAAAGTATTTTAATTGTGCATTTTAAATTGGAATTATTTGCAATGGATTTTTTTTTTGTATATTGCCGAGTCAAATGATTATCTTATTTTCTTTCATACAAGCAGCTTAGTGTAGACACGATCTTTCAGGATTGACACTATTAAAAATATTAGAAAAAAACAGAGCCACCGTGTTCATGAATTAAAATGATTAAATAACAAGGCTTCTTGAGGAGCCAAATTTCAAAGAAGTTTATTAATTTATATAAATGCCTAATAGGTTTTTTAAAATTTCTTTTGATATTTCTCCCTGAAGCAGTTTTGAAAAAATCAGAATCGTATCATGAGTTTTTGTTATTGCATTTCATAGCTTTTTTTTTTTAATTTAATCACCTGAAAGAGGTTTTGGATATATTAATTTATCAATTCATTGTGCCATGCATTGATGCAATCAATGTTTGGTGAGTATTTTCTGTATTCCAGACACAGTGCAAGATACTGGGGACAAAAGAATATATAAGACACATCGAGAAGTCTACATTCTAGTGAGGCATAATGTAAAACACACAAGGAGTCAATTACAATACAGTAGGATGAGCAATAAGATGCAAATAGGCACAGGGGCTATGGTGGTACTAGGTGCCATGAAACTAACAAAAGCTTGGTCAGGGAAGGCTTCATGGAGAAAATGTGCAATGGCCAGGTAAATGGGAGGTGAAGTAGGAAAGGAGGTGAATTCTAGGTCAACACAAGGGCAGCAGAGAACATAAAGGCTTGGCAGGCTCAAGAAATCACATGTAGGTCTCTGATTTTGCAGGTTCGGAGACCATGAAATGTTGAACGGTTTTGCTAAGGTCAAACAACAGATTTCGAGCTGGAGGCTTCGTTTGCCAGGTTTCTAATGTAGAGAGAGCTATTCCCACTGTTCTTGTATCTGTACATAGAGACTATTGTTGAGCATGACAATGATAAGTTACATTCACCTGTCAAAATACCCTGCAGATGTGTGTTTTATTTTTTAATTATAACCACACTTGACCATCTAAAATTAACATAGCATCAGTTACCATGAGGAGCCAGTGCTATAAGGAAAAATTATATATGGCATAAAAACCAAGTGGTTATTTATAGTCAGAATATCAAAATAGGTTATATGCCAGTTCATTATGGCTAAGCTAATACATTTATTAAATATCATGTCTTCATAGACCTACACATAGAAAAGTGTTCTTATCACTGAAACTCTAAAACATATTTTATTACTTATATGAAACTTTTTCCTTTTTCATCCATGAAAATATGATTTATCCAGATGTTATTTTTGTGCTCTATGAAGTTGATGCACAGATTTTCTCTATACCAAATGGTTATAATTTTAAAGTAAGGTTTTCAATTACGCAGTATGTATTTACCGTAAATACTATCAATTATTATAATGATGGCATTTTTGCTCATTTAATTACTATTAGGTGACATTTGTGCTTATTCTAATTTATTATTTTTCATTAGAGTGTTTATTTTTTCTTAGGAAAGTATTTTCCCAAACATAATTATTATCTATTAGTATGAATTTATTTTGTTCTTCACACTGATAATAAGATAAGAAAGGAGAATCTTTTCCTTCTGAGGAAACTCTAACGTTTCCAATAGAAACACATTTGGTTCAGTTTACACAGCATATAGATTTGGGCACCTGTTTAGCCTCTTTGAAGTTTAAGTCATACAGTTCACATTGTGTTTTTTGAATTGTTCATAAACTATTTTCTTTTATCTGGGTACAAAAAGGGAAATTGGGTAAAATTGGTAATATATCATCTTTTTTCTTTTTTATTTCCTTTGTGCAGATAAACTACCCTGGATATATTATTATTTGGCATCATAGGGTTGCCATCTAGTGGCTCCAAGGGGTACTTGTTTGTTAAGTTTATAGAATTGATTAAAACAAGTAGAACTTTGAAATAATATATCAAATTGGGATAAATGCAATAAAACTGATGGGGACTAATATAAATATTTGTTTCCCATAATCATAACATTTTCAGATATCAAAGTTCTAGCAATATTTTAGGAAATTAAATATTAAAAACTTATGAAATAGAAAACTGCCATGATTTTTAAGAAATCTATATTTTGTCCTTATTATGCATTAAACATTCAGCCCAGTCAATATTAGAAAAATAAGTCACATTTAAAACAATTTTACAAAATGACCTTTATATTTTAGATGGGAAATGTAATCAAGTATAATAATTAAACACAAAAACATCTCAGGAGAATACTCACTATGGTGGTTCAATAATCAATTCACTCTTTTATGGTCCACTCGTTCATTTATGTCATAGAGTGGATTCTCCCCACGGCCTTTTAACGACTTCAGCGTGACTCTTTTATTCACGTTCAAGAAGTGCAGAATCCCAAGTATGGTTCATATCCTTAACCACTGACTGCATTTTATCTCAAAATACTCTTTCTCCACATTTGGATTTAAAATTTCTAGTTGTAACAAGAAATTGCTTCCAATAACAACTAACACTAGTTGACTTTGATATAAATTATGTTGTTCTTTTCCCCAACTATTACTAAAGAATGTGCCTAACTAAGAGCTCTGGTATACCTTTCTCTACCAAGTTATATTTTCTTAAGTCCAGATGTAAAGCATCTTTTTCACTTTTGTTATTTTCCTTCTCATTCCTCTCAGCATACATTGAATATATGGGATGAATTCAACAAATACAACTCTTTTTTACAAAAAAATTTATCTTGGGAATTTTCAAATACAAAGAAAAATGGAAAGAGGAGTAAAATTTCCCCCTATGCCACTTACCTTGACTCACCAGTTGTTAATATTTTATCACATTTGCTTCTGTGTCTCCTCTCTCCTTCCCTCCCTACCCTCTTTCTCTCTTTCTTATATAACATGCCTCGTTATAAATTGAATTCTTTTGTGGGAAACCTGTATTTTATTTATCTGTATCCTATATAATTTTTAAGTATCCATAGTGAATTTTGAGAACTGTAAAACCTATTTACAGTTATGTGTTTTTCTTTTGTAAATGAAAAATAGTTTATTATAATAACATTTCTAAAGATGTATTTTTCTTAAGCCTTTGAATTCAATTTATATCTCATTTTATTTCTAAATCTGGTAAAACTAGCAAACATCTTTACTTTTTAAAAATTAAGTCAGTTAACTTATGTTGAAAATATACTTCCTTACAAAGTGTCCTATTTATAACTCAGTTGATTACTTTATCAAATTTTAAAGCATACAAATATATTTAATCTATTCAAGTTTTTAGAAGTTTGAAAGGCCTCACCTTAGGGAAAAGCTTTCATAAATATTAAAACAATTCTTAAAAATCTAATCAATAATATATATAAATACTACACTCAAGTTCTTTCAAATCTTTTTATATCCTTGGCCAAATTTTTATACCTGTCACTTTAATAATTCTAAAATTCAGGGTACAGTTAAAATATATTAAATTGGAAATACAATTAATTTGAATTCTCTTAAACTTTAAAGCACTTTAAATATTATGTGTATGCCTAGGTACACATTCCAAATTTAATAGAAAAGCATTAATTCTTTGAGTTTAGTGTGCTCATCATCTCTGTGTTTTTAAACTTGACCACTGTTGTGACACTCATTAAGAAAATAATTTTACCACCCTAAATTGAGGTTGCTATTTCCGGTGGTGTGCTGCCATCACTTGCTTCTCATTCAGAGATCTTTCCTGGGACAGGACTGCCGAGCTGCCTAAGCCCAGAACAACCACTGGTGGGCACACTGATTATCTTTTGTTGTCACTTTGACAAAAGTGGATTCCAAGTCCCTGTGCTTGAGAGGTGTATAGCTCTCAAGCTTTCTGGAGCTCCAGGTATAGCCTTATGTTATTTTTCTAGTTGTTAAACGTTTTCTTTCCCTTCTTATAAGCTGTTTTAATGTCTGTCCTTCTGGCTGGCTCCAAAAGCACATTGTCATTTCGTGAGACACTACTTATGTTTGTGCATTTCTCAACTGATTTTTTTCAATTAAATTTATTGGGGGGACAATAGTTAGTAAAGTTACATAGGTTTCAAGTGTACATTTCTATAATATTTCATCTATGTGTCACATTGTGTGCTCACCACCCAGAGTCAGTTCTCCTTCTTCACCATATATTTAACCCATTTCATTGTCTTCTACCACCCTCCTCCCCTCCTCAGTCTGATTCTAAGCCTACCGCTAACTTCATTCATTCTGGTGACTGCCCAATTAAATTATGAACTCTTTATAGTTTTCCTAACTAGGCCATAAACTTACAAATTAAATGACAACTAATTGGATCATATACAACTTTGTCAGACTTTGTAGCTCCCACGCTAAAATCATGTTAATAGAAGCAATTTCTTGTTACGTAAAGGAATTGAGTTAGCTGACCCACATATAATACCAATAATAATAATGATGATGATGATAATACTAATAATAATAATAATAATAATAATAATAATAATATACCCTGTGTTATGAAGGTTAAGAGACATTTAGTAAAATAAGATCAAACCAGGTTATTTATCAAATACTCATAGGTCTTTGTATGTACCAGCTATCCTTTAAAGTTCTTTACTCTAACCCTTTTGGGTGCTATTCCTATTTATAAATGAGGAAACTGAGAGGTGAAGTTCACTCAGCTGGTAAGTGGCAGAGTCAGAACTGAAACTGGCAGTCTGACTATACCATGCACGCCCTTAACAATAGTATTAATTTCATAAGGTCGTATTCTTGGTAAACTCAATGTAATTGTAGTTTATACACTGTCTTCAGATCCTGAAACAAGCACTGACTTATTTTTTAACTGATGTTTCCATGTAGGTAGTGAATTGTTTGCTGGGCTCTACAGTGACTACTGGGGCAGAGATGCGGCCCTCTTCCGGAGCATGGGACGACTGGCCCATATTCGCACCGAGCATGATGATGAGCGCCTGCTGAAAGGTAGGGCTGAGGAGTAAGAGTACTAGTATGTAAGTCACAGTTGAGGGCCAGCCAAGTGGCGCGATGGTTAAGAGCTGGCTTGGGATGCCAGAGGGCCCCGGTTCGGATCCCACATATGAGGGCCAGTGACACTGCCCTCTACAGCTAAGATGCTGAACAACAGCTCAACCTGGAGCTGGGCTGCTGTGAGTAGCTGGCGACGGCGTAGGCTGCAGCCACTGCTGCAATGGATTGCCATGGGCTATCATGTGTAGCCAGCCAGCAGCCAGTGTGAGCGGCCAGCAGCCGCAGTGAACGGCTGTCCAGAAGCCGGCAACTGATCTGCCTCAGCCAGGAAGAGCGCAATGATGGTGCCAACTTTGGCCAGTGAAGCAACGTCCTCCACAACTAGACTGAAGGACAAAAGGACAGCAACTTGTCTGTTCCCCTTCCCCCAATTCCCCAACAAAAATCTTTAAAAAAAAAAAAATCACAACTGAACATGAGTCTAGAGCTCATGGGGAATTTGTCATTTTTATGATAATGGCAAACATAATGTATAAACTTTTTAAAAAGTTTAGGATTTGTAAAATTAGCAATATTTGTGAGTTCAAATAATATGCATGATATGTGTATATCATTTTATATCAAAATGGATTGGCTTTATTATAAAACCAAACTACATTTATGGCAATGCTTAGAAATCAGGATTTAACTGGAGAAAACAAAGCAAATCCATGTAAAGTTAAAAACCCTTTCATTCAATAAGTTGTTTCATCAATGGGTATAATTTGGTATTAGTTGATTGCTTTGCTTTGCTTGTTTGAATAGGATCACATTGCACTTTACAGAAAAAATTCTAGGAGAATCACTAACCATTTGCTGACATAGGATTCTTTGTAAGGAATAATTTTATATTTTGGCACACTGGTGTACCCAGGGACTAAGACATCATTTTATGGTGATTGTTTTCATTGTTTTCAGCTGTTTTATTAAGATATAAAGTGCATAGTCATTATTGGCAGCATGTTGCTATTAAAATATTTGAACTACCATATCAATCAAAGGTCATTCACTCAGGTTACTTAGACTACAAACACAAAAACATAAATTTTCTTTCTTAAAATTAAAATGGTCTTTCATGAGCTAGATTGCTAGATAATTTATGAATATAAAAATAATAGTAGACTTTTTTACTAAGGTATTTTTCATATATTTACACTGACTTTTATATATATGGGGCAAAATTTATAGAGCTTACCATCATGGTGCCCCAAATCTGTCCTCCTTTGAATGCAGTTCAAGTCTACATATAACGTATGGTGTTCAAAATTATTTATTTCCTACTTGACTCTTTTATTTTCCAGTTAAATTGCCCTCTAATATATATATTTTTTAAAAACCTGTTGATTGCAAATATAATGGTGATATCTACATGATTTTTAATATTTAATATAAAATTTCAAAGAAATATTTTATTCATAAATAATGTAAGTTAAACTGAAGCTTTCATGTGATAACTTATTAACAAATTATTTTGTTATAATAACTATTACACTTTTCTTCTGTTTTTGTCCTTCTGTAGAACCAAAATTTGTAGGTTCATATATGATTCCTGACAATGAAGACCGAGATGACAACAAAGTGTATTTCTTTTTTACTGAGAAGGCCCTGGAGGCGGAACATAATGCCCATGCCATTTACACCAGAGTGGGGCGGCTCTGCATGGTGAGGGGTACATTCATCTCTCATTAAGCTTGCTTTTCTCAAAGTCTATGGTCAGGCCTTTGTTAATGTTGTATTATAATAAGTTTCTATTTTAAATCATTTTCTGCTATTTCTGTAGGCTGCCTAAAATTTGCATTTACTGTCTAAATTTATATGTCATATCTACTGAAAGTTTTCTCTTCAAAGAGCTTTGCATTTTGTATGATTTTCCACATTTTTTTTTAAAGATTTTTTTACTGGGCAATTGGGGGATGGGAACAGTGCTGGGGAATTAGGAGAGGGGAATAGACAAGTTGCTGTCTTTTTGTTCTTCAGTCTAGTTGTGGAGGACTTTGCTTCACTGGCCCAAGTTGGCACTATCATTGCGCTCTTCCCAGGTGAGGCAGATCAGTCACCAGCTTCTGGATGGCTGCTCACAGTGGCTTCTGGCCGCTCACGCTGGCTGCTGGCTACACACGGTAGCCCATGGCAACCCACTGCAGCAGTGGCTGCAGCCTACGCCGTCGCTGGCTACTCACAGCAGCCCAGCTCCAGGTTGAGCTGTTGTTCAGCATCTTAGCTGTAGAGGGCAGTGTCACTGGCCCTCATATGTGGGATCTGAACTGCGGCCCTCTGGCGTTCCAAGCCAGTTCTTAACCAATGCACCGCTCGGCTGGCCCGATTTTCCGCATTTTTAAAGCCATATGAAGAAGACATAATCTATATATGAGGCTGACCTTCTTTTGCCACAGAAGTTGGAGCTCCATTTAAAAAATATTAATTTCACCAAATTTTTAAAGTAATTTACATAAGTATGTTTAAACAGTTCAGTTGGTTGATTTTGTAGAAAAAATCATCTGTAGTTCGTAGGGTATTCAAATAGATCATTTGGGAACATTCAAAACCAACTGTAGTAGCAATATATTGCTAATAATATTGCAAATGCAAAGTTGCTTTGCTATTTAAGAAGATATTTAAGAATAAATTTTACAAGAGATTTGTACATGTATCACTGAACATATATGTGGGTGTATACAGTGCATGTGAGTGCAAATATATGTTGTATGTATGTGTGTTTGTGTGTATGTGTTTATTTGAAGTTCTTTTTATAAAAGAAAAAAGGAATGGTTTCTTTCATGTTGATGAGATAAACAAATTATTTATCAATAGACTAATAAAGGTTACTGTGTCATAAAAGCTACTATTTATTTAGGAGAGACCACGCTGTGAACAGTGTTTAATGCCTGGAAAGTGTATTTAATGGACCAGAGTGAAAGTACACTGACCAGGTAGAATGTGCAAACCTCAAAAAAAAAAAAAATATATATATATATATATATATGTATGTCTGTATGGGCAATCACATCTATGTTATTATTTGAGGATTATGCTAAATTTTCCACATTAAGTGACAAACCTTGTTTAATAATGCAGAATATATTGTCAGTAAAAGTTATTTACGCACCCCCTTCCCTGTGTTTTGTTTTCACAGAATGATATGGGAGGACAGAGAATACTGGTGAATAAGTGGAGCACGTTCCTAAAAGCGAGACTGGTGTGCTCAGTACCAGGAATGAATGGGATTGATACATACTTTGATGAATTAGGTAAATATTGGGAAGATTAAATTTTAATATTCGATGTGTATGCCTCTCTGTAACCTTTGCTGTCTCTAGCACATATGGAATATTTGCTTTTTGCAGTGTTTGTCTTCCATCTAACTTAGAGTAAGTTTGTGTGTTTTTCATTTTGGCCAGGTCCACGTGGTGGGGCAAAGGAGTTACAGGAAGAAAAAGACCCATCTTATTAGCTTAGAGTCAGCACCTCTTATTTCTTCCTTGAGACTCAGTTCAAAGCCACCTTGAAAATCCAAGTGTTTTACTCTGTTGTGATATGAACATGGGTGTATGACTGTATATGAAAATTCATATCTTAACACCTCTAATATGTTCTAAACTATTTTATGGCAAAATATTTTCTTCGCATGCAAAGAAGACTAATGTAATGGTGTTTAATTTTTCAGAGGATGTTTTTTTGCTGCATACCAGAGATCATAAGAACCCAGTGATATTTGGACTCTTTAACACTACCAGGTGAGAAATTGACATGGTCAGTAAAAATATGAAACAAAATATGCCTTACCCCTTCACTGTAACAGGGAAATAGTGTGCACCCATTGTCATTCTCATTTTCTATATTTTACAAGTCACAATTTCTCTTTGTTCTCCTGCAATTGTTCTTTCATTTTTTTTAAACTTATGAATTGTTTATTTCTGGAATTTTCAATTTAATATTTTTGGACTGTGGATGACTGTGGGTAACTGAAACCATAAAAAGCGAAGCCACAGATAAAGGGAGTCTATTGTACCGATGAAGAAAATCTTAAGCATATTTATGACAAAGTAGACCGCTGACTGCACATTAAAATCATACACACTGTGTAAGTGCTGAGGGACTGAAATGTGAAGGTCAAACCGTCCTGCAAAATAGGGACCATTTCATGAATTTGTGTGTCATGTTAGCTCAGGGGCCACACAAATTTTAATAACATGTGTTGCCAAAGCAAGCACTATTCTTCCATTTGTAAAACCACAATCTCAATCTAGATTCTTATTTGTTTTTGTTTGAAGTATCCCAGCATCCTCTTAATTTCTTCTCTCTCTCAACTACAATAGATATTTTTCCCCATACAGTTTATAAGATATTAGTTCTATGCTATAGAGTCTAGGATGACTTTTTTATTAAGGTGGCACTAATTAACATAAGCTTCAGGTGTACATTGTAATTCAGTATTTGTATACACTATAGCATGCTCACCACCAAAAGTCTAATTTCCACCCATCACCATATATTTGATCACCTTTCCCCAGTTTGTCCCCTCTTCCCCCCTTCTCCTCTGCTGGTCATTGTTTTGTTTGTTCACTTATTTATTTTTTGTTTTATATTCCACATATGAATGAAATCATAAGATTTTTGTCTTTTTCTGTCTGACTTATTTGTTAATTTGACTCCAAACACAAGGGAAATAAATAGGATAATTATTTTAATCATTATACAACATTCCCCAAGTCACGCCCTCAAGGCTCTCTATCAACTGTTACCCACTCAGTTTTGGAAGGTTTTCCTCTAAGCTCTCTAATGCTCTGCTTTTGACAAGGTAACACCTTGACAGAATAGTGTTTCCTCCATTAGTTCCTATCACTGTGATTTTATTTATCCACTTCTGTTGCATCAAATGACTTTCTCTTCCAACACTGATTTACACCAGTTCTCCAATACTTGTTGATTGTCATCTTCAAGCAGTGTTCCTTGTTCTCGTTCCTTAATCACAAAACACTTGGCTCACCCTTTACTCTGGTTGTCCTACTCCTGTGTAGATTCATAGTAAACACATGTTTGTGATTTGCCTTCCATGTTAAATAAGCTGTGCATGTTTAGGGCTTATAATCTACTATTTTTCCTTTTTGTGTTTTTATATTTTATATGAGTTGAAGAGTGCTGGAAAAATGAATCAAATATTATTTCATGTGTGTTGATTCGTGAATAAAAATATTATTAGAATCAGTTAGGTTGAAATTTATAAATAATATTTGCCGAGTGTCTTGCCAAAATAAGATAGCGTGGAGGTGAGATGACTAGAAGGAGAAACAAGGAGTTTACCTCAATTCTCTTGACAGGGATCAGATGATAGAACTCAGTTCCTCTTTTGCATTGAGTTGACTTTAAAGTGTGATCTAAGCATGTTTGGCTTACTTGCTTAGGGTCTCTCCACAAAGCTTCTGTTTAATTTTTCAGCAAGTGATTTCTTATGCTGACTTTGAAAAAAATAATAATAAAGCTCTTTTTACCAGTTTCCTGCTATTGTAAGAAGACTTTTCTTCAACAGGGAAACATGGAAATAATTTTGCTATCAATTGTTCCTTGATGCAAAGAAAAGTAGTTAATGCAGATTGCTAGTTATCACAGTCCATAGGAAATCCCTAACTTTTTAAACTTCATCTTCCCCCTTATGCCAGTGAAGAGTTTATGCATTGCATGATAATTTCATATCTTTGTATGACAAATACAAGCTATAGGCTATTTAGGTATGGTTTTCTATGGGTTAGTATGATTGGTGTATAAGCTACTTTCCTAAATGATAGCATAGTGGATCTATCTCGATTTCAAAGACAATACATTATTTTTTTCCATAATTTCAATTTTGCTGTTCAATTTATACATAAATCTGAGGAAAAGGTTTCCCAGCTGTTACCTGACGTAAGGGTTGATATTTGTAGCCTGGTGATCAAAGGTTTATTGCCACTTTTTTGTGAGACTATCTCTGGTTTTCTCACTATCGTAGGCATTTCCAATTGCTTCAAGGTGTTTTATAAAACGTGTGAATTGATGTCCTAAGACAGCAATATAACTGCTGCTCTACAGGTGTCTCAGAGTGTAAGAGCTTTTATGTTTATGAAGAACTTGGCATTTTGCAAAGCTATTGCACAAACATTAACTATTTTGTTTCTAACAATGAGGAGGCTGGGAAATGTTAGAATTCATTTAGATCATGCCAAATTAAGAAACAGGGTCAGATTTTTAATATGCATTATTGAAAAATGTCCTTTTGCAGAATCTTATTGCATATGCCCCCCAATAAAATGTGCTATGGTAAGTCAACTATTGTCTTTATCCTCTTCAAGTAAAAAAAAAAATTACCAAGAAAATAATTTAAATTGCTGCTAGTTCTGGAGGTAAAGAATCTTGGTTTTATATAGTTTAAATCACTTTCCCCAAATTAACCTAGTTCAGTCCAATCATCTTTTCACAATAGCACAGTTTTCAGTGACCTGGAGAAAGGAATATACAGCAAGCTTCTTAATGTCTACATGACCCTAAGGTAAAGAATGGAACAAAGCCCCAAATTTTCATGAGACTTCAGCTTGTTATTCATATCACATACACTGAGAAACTAATACAATTTGAATAGAATATGTAGCAATATTAGCATGATTAGGCAAACACTGTCTATTCTGAATATGGAACAGCATACAAGGAGATACAACCTTAAGATGAATTAATTCAACTGGAAGTGAATCTAATTAAATATTAAGGCCATGTCTTCTTTAATAAAAAATAAAAAAACACAATATAAGATTTATCAATAATAAAGTGAAGTGACCTAACTAAGGACTTTTTGTATTCTAACAATATCATTTTCAATTTATTATAATAAATAGGCAAATAAATGGTAAGTTTTAGAATTTCAATACTTAAAATATTGTCATAGTTCATATTTCTAGAATATCATATGCTTAAGAGGTTGCATCTTTTTAACCCAAAAAACTTCATCCTTATATATGTAGTCTGGAGGGTTTGACTAGGTGACCTCCTAGTCAGTTCCAGAATATTAATTACTATTGTTTTTTTTGTATTTCCCAGTAATATATTTAGAGGGCATGCAATATGTGTCTATCATATGTCCAGCATCCGGGCAGCGTTTAATGGACCATATGCACATAAGGAAGGACCCGAATACCACTGGTCACTCTATGAAGGAAAAGTCCCTTATCCCAGGCCTGGTTCTGTAAGTTTAGGCATTTAACAAAGTATTCTTGTTTTTAAAGATTTTTAGTAATATTTTGTTCACTGTTTTAGATGCTTTACAAAACTTTGCAGTAAAGACTTAAGAAATTCGACAACTAAAATATGCTTGATCCCTTGCATGGTGAAGAAACATCATGGCTTATATCTAGTTGTATGTTTGTTCTTTAGTGAAAAGAGTCTATGAGGGGTACATCTCAGCAGCATTATAAAGTATATATTATCATTGATATTTTGGTTAAACAGCCCCAACTAAAATTGTATTTTTAAGGATACTGGTGAATACAGAAACATCCAATAAAAGGAGCATCATATACCTTCCAGCCTCTTCAGAAAAACAAGTGCCACATATAACTTCCAAGCAGGAGGCCGTAACCACAGTTTATATTCTAATATTTGGGTCAGCCTAAGTTCCATAGGACAAACTTTCTCCTTACTTTTCGCTGCTGCATATCTAAAAGAAGCTTTTTCTCTGCCTCCCTCAGAATATTCAGGATCTCACTGACCACCCTTGTTGGCTCCTAGAACAAAAGTGCCAATAGAAAAGTGTTATTCGAGTATAGGAAGTTCTACCACGTGCCTCTGAACTGGTGCTACCAAAAATGCCCCTAACTAGCCATTCAAACTTTTGTGCTTTTAATTGTGCATGAATCTAAAAATAATGATGATGACAATGATGGTTTTGTATCATGCATCCTGCATACAACTAGGTTGAAAAAATGTACAACCGTTGTAAATGCTATGTGAGCCATGGAGAACGTTTAACCTGTCATGCAAATCAAAGCCTACTCTTTTATGAGCAGCTGGTGAAAACCCATCACTGTGCTGATTCCACAAGTACTTGCAAGTCAAGTAGAAACTGTTTTTGCAGAGCCAAATCCAAAGTGGAAACAAACATTACCTCCATTAACAAGTGTAGAAGGCTTTACCGTTTCAATCACCCCCTCTCACTAGCTTAAAATTATGACTTCCAGTAAGACATAAAGTATATTTTATTTCACTCTATTGATTGAAATTACAATTTAAATGGAGAAAACCCACTCCTGTGGCTTTGCTGGAAATGCTTCTTGAAACCACATGGTATTAAAGGAGATTTGGAGGAAGTAACTGGTTACTGAACTGCTTCCAGGCTGGTCCAAAATGTTTCCAATTATACATCATGAAAGTACACTCAAGTGAAAAATTCATGCCAAATTAAGAAATATGGCCTGAATTTTTAAAACAAACTATTAAAAGTGCCCGCTTTGCAGAATCTGATTACTAAACTGCTGTATTTATACTCTAAAGTGGAAAATTTTTATCAAGATAATCATTGCAATTGCTGCTGGTTCTGGGAGAAAATATGTGAAATAAGGGAGCACTCAATAACAAACATGATTCAACACAGTTAAAGATATTCCAAGAGGTAACTTAAGGTGCTGTTGAATATTTACTTTTAGAAGCAGTGGTTTAAGAATTGAGATGTTATAGCAAATAGTTCTGGTTTTCTCTATCGTGTCTAATCCATATAAGAATAATATAAATTTATACAGATTACAGTGGAACAGAAAGGTGTTTTTTTTTAATAATGATGGAATTTGAATATGTTTCTATATTACACCACTAAAGTCTATAGTTAATGAGCCAACTGGAACCATCACCAATCCTTTTATCATACTCTCAATAATAGGAAAGTTATTTTGTGCTGTGATCCTTAATATGGAGAGGGGGGAGATTTAGCAAACAAAGAGGTTTTTATTTTGCTATGAACAATGCGATGTTTACCTTCACAATTTAATGTATGATGTGAAAATATACATTTTAGGAAATGGAAAACAATTACAGTTTTTATGATGTTTCACTATTTGCCACCTCCAAACTGTACCAGTATTTAATACGCCACACTTTTCCAGAATTTTACTACTTCCTGTATATTTTTAGCACTGCACGTTTGAAATAACTCAAGCTATTCTTGCAATTTGTAATGTAGATTTCATTTCTGTAATGAAGAATACATGCTTACTAAACGTTTCTAAATTCACAGTTAATTAACTGAACATACCCAGTTTATCTAACTATTTTCATAATTGATTATAAATGTGCTCTGTAGGTTTAAGGAAAAAAAAAATGGTCTCATCCATTTGTATTTCAGTGTGCCAGCAAAGTGAATGGAGGACGGTACGGAACCACGAAAGACTACCCCGATGATGCTATCCGATTTGCGAGAAGCCATCCACTTATGTACCAGCCCATAAAACCTGCCCATAAAAAACCAATTCTGGTAAAAACAGATGGAAAATATAACCTGAAACAAATAGCAGTGGATCGAGTAGAAGCAGAGGATGGCCAGTATGATGTCTTGTTTATTGGGACAGGTAAGGAGATTAGAAAGACTCAGCGATATTTAAATTAAGCCATAAAATCAATAACGTAACATTAAAAAAACACCTATCAACAAATCTCCTTTTGATCCATTATGTCTTTTTACACTGCTTATTTGCGGCAGTGGAAGAGAGGATTTGGGGTAGTTACAGCACATAATTACTAATACATGGTCAATGCTTAGTACATTTGAACAAATAAATAAGTGAAGGAATGAATAATTGATGTTAATACACAATGCTGGTTCCAAGTAGAACTTAAAGAGAAAGTAGGGGTCATACTGAGGATGGTCCTCCTGTTTCAAGATATCTCAAACATTTGGATAATAACTTTACCTAAACTTTTAATCACAACAGTGTTTATCAGGCCCATCAAAATAAATCATTTGTGTCAAACAGGCCAAGTGTTAGCCATAATGGAGGTATACTTGTAGACCAAAGCTACAATATCCTTTATTAATAAAATAAAATGTAATAAATATGCTAAAAGTAAAAGTATCAAATAAATGTATAATTTCAATTAGTACCATTCGGTAGATCTAGATTGTGGAAGAGAATTTTGAATCTTTTAGCATCCAGGGTAATATGTAGGAAATTCTGTCAAGAACTTTAGAATTCTGTAGTCATTTAAAATGTTTTTTAAGTGATCATTTCTTTCTTTTTTCTTATGCATTATAATAATTGCTATAGCAGTTGCTCTTTAGAAGAGTAAGCATTCTACCATATGTAACATGAATCATAGCCATATTATTCTAAAGCGACATTGCATATGCCCAAATCAGTAATCAGGATATAGTGTTAATATTGGTACTTGGGCTTCTTAAGTCATACTTTTTGAAAAAGCAAAGATTTAAGTAAGGAAACATTTACCTGATTTCCAGAAATTGATCTCTGGTGCTGCCTACATTTTATTTATTTACTTTAGGAGATTAATGTTAATAATATGCTCTGCATTGTGGGATCAAGATTAACAAAGCATCAGATTTCTTTAACAGACTTAAAATTACCTGACCCTGAATTCAGTCATAATGACATCTAAGAGAGTTAAAAAAAGAAGAGTTCCATAGGCAAGATTATATTTGATAAAATTAATCATGGAAAAATGTATGTTATTTTTAAATATCCTGGAGAGTAGTCCAAGAACGTTTTTAGAAATATTTTCTTAGTAGATTGATCAAAGCTATTTGAGAGAATTCCAGAAATGTCAGGTATATACTTATGCTATCATGTAAACATGTTTAACTCAAAGATACAATCTTATTGAACCACAGCTTTTCAGCATGAAAGAACGTATTTAATAAATGTGTGATGAGTACAACATTGGAAAATCCCACAAATGATAGTTATTTACCCCAAAATTTACCAGACACATGCTTTAATATTATCTATCTATCTATCTATCTATCTATCTATCTATCTATCTATCAGGGGAGTCCTTATTATAAAATCATTAGTTGCATTTTAATAACTTGAGTTTTATCTCTGCTTTTGGCTTGATGTAATAACTGTAAGATATTTTATTATGTGTGCTTGGTTTTAAAAATTATGATAATTTGTATTCTTTTAGTGTATAATACAGATAATTGTTATTAGTTTTATTGTAATCACATTTTATTAACCTAACTACAAGATTTGATAATTTCTAAACAAATTGCTTAAATACCATAGGAACTCTTAGATCAGTACCTCCAAAGTGCTCATTTTATTTCTGAGTTATTTCTAGTACTACACCAAATTATTTTCATAGGAAAATTAGTGTCTTATCAAACTTTTTACTGGAAATAACAAATGCAGATTAACAGGGATAATAAAAATCAGGTGGGATTTTATAATATTAATATAAATTTATAAAATTATTGGTAATTATGGGAGCTAAATGATTAGTGCAGGAGGACTCGTTATACTATTCTCTCAATAGTGTGTAATTAAATTTTTTCTTATTAACTCTGTGCATGGAAACATATAGTGTGTTGTTCCCTAAGACTAAAAGCATAGTTTCTTACCAAGAAAGTAGCTTTAGGTAAAAAATTTTCTTTCATCATACATCAAAGAAGAAACTAGAATAATTTGGCATCTGTGTTTTATATCATTAATTCCAAAGACATTTTGATTTCTGAATCTTTAATTAGATTTTTGAATCAAATTATTGGAAAAAATAATTATATATTATTTGGTTTACTTTTTGGCCAGGCATATAAAGTTGATTTCTTTGCTAATTGAAAATATGAATACATAGTAGTATAATACATAAATACATATTAATTAATCATAGCAACGATTAAATGTTTCATGCATCCAGATTTCAAATCTTATTTGAGTCCATAGTCCGTACATGTTCTTAATTGGTTGAAAACCAGATTGTGACAAAACTTCTAGCTTATCTCTTCTTTTTCTTTCTTACAGATAATGGAATTGTGCTGAAAGTAATCACGATCTACAACCAAGAAACAGAATCAATGGAAGAAGTAATTTTAGAAGAGCTTCAGATATTCAAGGTATTTTTAGTAAAAATTATAGACATTTATGTATCACACACAATTGCAAGTGAGTTGCAAATAGGAAAGACAGTATATCAAATTTATTTTTTCTAACAAGTGTGTGTGAATTTAAGTGAGGAGTTATTTAAAATCCATCTGCATCTATTGTATTGTCATAGACTATTTAAATGTAGAAGCTAGTCTTTACCTAGTATGAGAGGAATTTCTTACTGTGAAGTATGACTTAAAGAAATAACACTTATACCACATATGAATTTCAGAATCATTATTGCAAAGTTTCATCTTGTACAAATGTACTATCAATACAACAACTGAAAAATAGCAGTAGGTATCATATTGGGACATTCTGGTTTGGCAAGTACACTGCTTTTTATAGTATTACAGCATATCAATTACACAGAGAATTTACTAAAAAGGAGAAAAAATGCAAAATGATAATGGCAAGATAGACATGACAAAAACAACTGTATATATGTACACATACACACACACACACACACACTCACATAGAGTCAAATATCAATATTTGTGGTAGTTATAGCCTTTACCATGATAATGAACACTGAATTAGTAACTACTGACCATTGCTTCTAGGGGAAATATAGGATTAGGTTCCTGTGTGTCTCTAGTCACAACATTTTTATCAACTTATCAATATACAGTGTATAACCTTGTTTAATGTGTGTTTCTGTTTAAAGACACATTATTTAGAATATATTTTTGATTGATTAACATTGAACTTGCAACCAACAGCATTATAATTCATGCCTGAACAGAGTTTATTTAACACACATATTTTCTCCAAGGCACATCACAACCTTGGAGCTTAGGAACCCTAGATAGCATATATGTGATGAATAGATGTGAATATATTTTTGTTGATGAAAAACAGTTCATTTTACCTTGGCTGCCTCAGAGATTAGATTCCCCATAGCCAAACCCAAAGCTAACCACATTCCTATCTCAACCAGAGCAGCTACGTTTTTGTTTATTTTGCATATTGGACCTCTATGTAAGATTTCATTTCACATTGGAGACCATAGCTCTCATATTAACAGCACCCACTAAGCCCTTAAACATTCTTTCCTCAATGAGTAAATGAATGCACGCATGCATAGAGAGTTGTGTAGTTTAAAATATTTTTTATAAAGTGACACAGAGGATATTTTCTTTCAAAAAACAGTTCTTCTAAGGGTAATCATCCACAGAATGGATACCACCTGTCAGTTGCTTCTCCACTTGCAGAGCTGACCTGAGTCTGTGGTGTTCCTTAGACACACTCTAGTCTTCATCACCATCCCTAGAATAACACATGGGTACTCAAAGCTATTGTAGATGGTCCTTCCTCTGGTGCAGGCCTAAGACAGTGGGGTCATTCATCTTGTTCAAAGCCTCCTGGGTTCTTAGTGACTAACCACAATAACTCCATCAGAAAAGCATTTTGTTTAGGCTTGGGGTAAAACAATTAAAGATCGCATGGTTTGTTAGGAATAACACCTATTCAAAGATGTAACTGTTTTACTTGTCATGGTTCAACTACTTTATAAGAAAGAAAGAACACTTGGACTTTATTGTTTTATTTAAGGATACTTGAGTTTCCAAAGTGTGCATCATATTCAAACGTAAATACAAAAATCACGTTCCATAACAAATGGTAAGCTGCTTAAATTATCCTCTACTTTTCTCATCTATGCATTTGCTCTACTCTCCTAGAAAAGGTTGTAAAATAGAAAGCTATATTTTAATAATTGTATTTTCCTATGGATTTACGAAAATGAAAGCTATAGACTGCTTGGCATAGAAGCATTCACAGATAATATGATTTCAAATGATTTATAACCATTTTAAGGTATGTTGCTATTTTCTTTCTTAAAATGGAAACTTTTTTTTTTAATTTTCAGGATCCAGTTCCTATTATTTCTATGGAGATTTCTTCAAAGAGAGTAAGTTGTGTGTGTGCTCTCTATATGAGTTAAGGCCAATGGATAAAGGGCATAAGAACATGTGCTTATATATGAACAAGTTACAGTTTTAATCTAGCAATAATATTTTAGTGATTTACATGTAATAGAGTTTTTATTTTCTATTTTCAGGAAGGTAAACAAGAGTAGATTTACTTCTATAATCAAAAGACAGTATTCCATAATATTTTTGCTTATGTTTTCACAAAAAGAATGGTAATGATGGTAATACAAAAGCGTGTGCAGTGAAATACAAACCTCCCTTCCATTTTACTGGTACCAGTTTCTGGTGTAAATTTTTCAGAAATAATTATTGCATATATTACCCAAATTTATAAATAACGTTTTAAGTTTAGACAAATGGGAATGTACAGTGTTAATTGTTCTGCTACTTGCCCTTTTTACTTAATAACATATCCTACAGTTTACTCCAAGTCACTCCGTGTGTGTGTGTGTGTGTGTGTGTGTGTGTGTGTGTATATATATATATATATATATATATATATATATATCTTATACATACAGAGAACAGATTGGTGGTTGCCAGAGGCATGGGGTGGGGATGGGCAAAATGGGTGACGGTGCTCAAAAGGTACAAAATTCCAGTTATAAAATAAGTCCTGAGAATGTAATGTACATCATGGCGATTATAGTTCATAATACCGTATTGAATATTTGAAAGTTGCTAAGAGAGTACATCTGAAAAGCTTCATTATAAGAAAAAAAAATGTATACCTATGTGTGGTGAGAAATGTTAACTAGACTTGCTGTGGATCATTTTACAATATATATAAATATTGAGTCATTTTATTCTACACATGAAACTAATATAATGTTACATGTCAATTATATCATAATTTTAAAATGCAGAAAATGCCATTTTATTGTTCAATCTCTTCTCAAACATTCCTATAGATCTTTTAAAAAATGTACAATGTTAGATGATGACTCTTTCTGCTTAGATAATGAATAAAACAATAGTCAACTTCTTGAGAACATGTCAAGCCATCCTAGCAATTTTGTTATTCATGCGTCCAAGTCTATAAAAGTATTTCACAATTTGGAGAAATTAAAGTATCAATGTTCCATTATCTATTCTATCCTGTGTAAGTGCAGTAAATGAAGTGAATATTCACAGAAATAATTGTGTATAAATGTGAAAATCTAAGTGTAAGAGCTCAGTGAGAGTTCTGTCCATTTCTGCTAGTGGCCTCTCTTCTTTGATGTCTATAGCAACAGCTGTACATTGGATCTGCTTCTGCCGTGGCCCAAGTCAGGTTCCATCAGTGTGACATGTACGGAAGTGCTTGTGCTGACTGCTGCCTGGCTAGAGACCCTTACTGTGCCTGGGATGGCATATCCTGTTCCCGGTATTACCCAACAGGCACACATGCAAAAAGGTGAGACAGAGTCCTCCATGGAATATTTCCCTTGCTTAGGAAAACCCTAACACTTTTTTTCTGTCTTTTTCTTTCTGCACCTATTCCATGAACATAACCATGTTGTTTTTATTTAAATGAATCATAGCCATATTTTATTTGTAATAAAAGCTTTGAAAACTTGAATTTTTCCTGAAAATAACTCCCATCCATTATTGTGTAGAAACTGGAGCTGAGAATGCTGCTGGGTTCTTATTTTTCCACCCAGGTTTGAATCAATGCTTTCTCCTCCTGAAACTTCTGCTGCAAGACATTATCCCAGCTTAGATAAACTTAAAATGTGGAAATGGCAAGCCATCACCCATGAGGGATTTAAAGACATAAAAGGAAAATAAATAAATAAATTCTAAAATACATCCTGCATTTGCCTCATGTCTTCACAACCAGCTGGTCTTCATTTATTTCATTTTGAAAGTGAATATTTTAACTCCTAGGCAAATGCATGACCTGTATAATTAATGAAATGTGTGATTTAATGCAACACAAATGAAAGGTGCTTAAAGACCTCCAAACTCTAATGTGTACAGTTCAGCAAGGTCATTGCCACTTGTAAGAGAAGGTAAATCTCAGGACTCTTTGAACAGGAGATCTTGAGGTACAGCAAGTATTTTGAAGAATAAGGATAGTTCTTCACTGAAGCCAATGAAATTGTGCATTCTTTGGGAGAAAATATAAGGGGGAAAATATTTTCATTTAATTTAGAATAAGCATTTTTTTCTCTTAATAAAGTGACCAGAGACAATAAAAGCAAAATCATAGAACTAAATGTATATTCCCTGCTGAAAAGCAATTTTTATTAACTTCAATTATTCTTACTCTTTCACTTTGGGTTACTTTTCTTTAAACCTTTTTGAAAATTTAAGATAACCCAATGTAATATAGTTGTTATTTTTATAGGTTCACATATACAGTAGAATCTAATTAAAAAACAAAAACTTAGTCACTAATTAAAAAATTTTGTTAATTTGATGTTAGCTTAATTAACATTTCAATGAGTAAAGAAAGGCTATAATAAGCAGATAGTGAAAAGATGCTTTGAGAGAACATTTATGAACTAAATAATTTACAAGCTGAATTATATTTTGAATATATTATTTAATGACTTATTCACCCATTAAGCCAATTACTATAGTATATGTGAGGGGTAAAGTAAAACATAGGGAATATAGTCAGTAATATGGTAATAATTATGTATATTACCAGGTGGGTACTAGACTAGTCAGGGAGATCACTTCTTAAATTATATAAATGTCTAACCACTGTGCTGTACACCTGAAGTTAATATGAAATAATATTAAATGTCAACTATTATTGAAAAATTAAAAATAGGGAAAAGATGAATGGGAATAAGAGGTTCAAACTTGCATGTATAAAACAAATAAGGTATGGGGATGTAATACACAGCATAGGGAATATAGTCAATAATATTTTGATAGCCTGATACAGTGTCAGATGGTTTCTGGACTGATCATGGTGATCAACTCTGTAGATATAAAAAGGTTGAAAAACTATGGTATAAACCTGAAACTAATATAATATTGTATGTTAGCTGTATTTTAAATAAGAACCTTTTAAAAAATAAATAAAAGGTGTGGATGAAAAGAGTTATATGGAGAAACTTGAATGAATGGGCAAAATTGTAGACAGGAAGGAATGGAATGCTGGAGCCAGGAGCTGTGCTCATAAATGAATTAGTTCAGTTCAGCAACACATAATGCAGATCTTTCAGTGGCGTCAAATTCTTTTGAACCATCACTCATCCCTGGAGGAGAACTTTTTGGGTAAGTTCCAGCACATGAAGGGGAAGTAGTTTGCTTTTAAAGCAGATCATTTTGCTTCAAACCTAACTAGCAGCAGAAATTAAAAATTGGTCATTAAAATAAATATTTTTCTGTTCATAGAGTGACAATAAGTCAATAGAAGAAAAACCTTAATTTGCAATCCAAGCCAGTTGTTTAAAATAGTCTTCTAAAATGTACTATAAATGATAGAGCTAGGTCTTTTTCTTTTCCTTGCTCTGTGTTTTGTCTATTTCCAGTGTTCTCTTAAAAAGTTTCAAAGAGGCAAGAAATATAAGAAAAATGTGAGGCTTTGAGAATAAAACCTTTGCTTAACCTTTCTAAAACTCCCGAGCATTGACATTCCTTTTTAAATACTGAAATAATGGACAACTATATTAGAATAGAATAAAATGAACTAAAACCTTGAGGGATGTGATATCTTTCGTTTTAAATGCTTGTTTCCAATGATTTTAAACAAAAATTTTGCAGGGTTATTATTCACACTGCTTATGTAGAATTATCTGATTGCAGTTCCCTTTATTCTAACATCACTTGTATAATAAACATGACAGAACATCATTTCTGAAAAGTGCAAACCATTTCCCATTTCACTGATTTACTCCTGTTCCATTATTCATTATTGGTCATCACACTCCTTACATCAGAGAAATACTCGAAGTGAGGATTTAACAAAAGCAGTTTAAATCTCATCTAGAGCTGCTACCAGTTGTATAATAGCTGTACATTTTGGTATAAATTAATACAGGAGCATAAAACTTTTTACTTTTGCTTCTTACTTTGTTCTCAAATTCTGTGTCCAGTTTAGCTCAATAGAATGATCCATGTGTCAGTCTAAAAAATGTGAAGCTGTTAACTAAGATCTGAACTCATGTCAGAAAGCACTCCATACCTTGAAATAATGTTCCATTATCATTATTTGAAGGCAGTGAGGAGAACCTAGAGTGATAAAAAACAGTAAGACTGGAATAGATTTTAGGTGTCAGTTAGAACAATTTTATTTTACAAAGCAGGACACAAAGAACAAGGAAATGGAAAAGATATATGTACGATCATACAGCATATGAGAGATGGCATTGGGATTTGAATCCGGTTCCCTTTTCCAAATTTTATCATTGCATATGGTTCAAGCATCTCATTGTCACTTTGGAAGCCCCACCATCTCCCTCTAGGGTAAAACTTCTGCTTTGCCTTCTGTTTTTCTCACGAACTGGAAGACATGCCATGATTTAAAGAAGCAAGTCATATTTTCTGTCTTTCTGTAATATTTCTATTTTTAATCTCTAATCTGAATGAATATGTTGATGATCTTGATTTTAAAATTCTAGTACTAATAATGGTCATTTCCATTGTCTAATTCCTCAGAAAGATGCTTACAAGTTCAAAACCAGACATATATTCTGAAATTCATTTTCTGTAATGTTATTTTTCAATTATATCTAAACAATCTATAAAACATGAAAACACTATTGCAGAAGTGACCCTAAATCTAATAGTCAGTTTTGCAAGACATCCAGTTAAAAATTTATAACACACCATTGCATCAAATAGAGGCATGTAATTTCTACACATTAATTCTGAATAAAAGAGTAAGTTGAGCATGTTATTAGTTTATATATTTTTATTGTCAACTATATATGTGTTAATTGGTCATAATGGTTATAAATCAAAATTTTCGGATTCAAATGCCTTTCTTACATGTACTTTATTACCTGTAAGTATTTTATGTAATTTTACTCAAATAGTCTGCCTCAAATCCCACTGTCTTTGTCTGAATACATCCCTTACCACCCAAGACACTCATTTCAAACCAGAAGCATTCTTGTTGAACCAAATTTTTAGCTAAATGTGAAGAGAACCTTCTTAAATTATTGTTTTAGGATCCAGAATTCAAATGTATGTGACCATTTAAAGGACAGTTTTATAAGGTCTTAGTCATTGAATAACATTCAGTGGAAATATGGAAAACTATGAAACTTAGATTTTATCCTTGTTTTGTGTGACTGATCAATTTTTTTGAGTAGCAGCATATTACTTGAATCTTCCATTCAGTTGGCTACCTTTTAAAGTCTGGAAAATTGAAATCTGAACATCTCCTCTAAATGCATTTACTTTCTTTCAGGCGGTTCCGCAGACAAGACGTTCGGCATGGAAATGCAGCTCAGCAATGCTTTGGACAGCAGTTTGTTGGTAATCCATGGAAAATTCATTGATCTGGGTTACTTAGAGTGTCCATTGAAGAGAAACTGCACATTTCTTTAAAAGGGCCCTTGCATTCTCTGTGATTGATATATACAAGCACAGTGTTACTGAAAGTATTCCCTTCCATGTAGTTAACATTTTGTGTTTTTAACATATAATATTTACTTATTTAGGAAAATAAGTTTTATATACCACCACCAAGCTTCACTATTACAACTTAAAACAAGAATCCTAGAACAAGAATGCTGCATATTTTAGGTGGCTGATATCATAGTGAGTTGCAGGACTTCCTCTCCATCTCAACCCCAGGAATATCTTTACCATGTTATATAATTTATGGCTCTTTTAAATCAAGAGTGACCTCACTCGTACCAACTCACTTGCTAAGTTTCAGGATAGAATAAAGTGTAAAACTTTGACTCTCTCACCAGAGTTGAGTAAGCTGGGGTTGGTGCGTGCAGATGTAGGTTCCTGAGAAACAGCGGTAGGTGGTCTGAAGGATAAAGGGTGAGAGGAAGTGTCAGTTTTAGGCAAAGGTGAGAACCTCAAACAAGACAGAACAACAATGTGGTGACTCTTCACACCATGATGGTAGTAGGTGAACAGGCTGTGCTTAGTGTCACCGGTTTCACCAGGAAGTAGCAGCGGGAGGGGGCGCCGTGACTGGGAGTCCAGCAGTGCTTACACACAGATTCAGAGATTGTGGTCCAGTACTAGTTTGCTAGACCTCAGACTGACTCGACTTGGTGTAGGATGTAAGCCTCTGAGAATACTGGCTAATGAAAGGCAGGATCTTAATCTTAGAGAAATAAATGTAGGGGTCAGTTTTGAAGGTGAGGAGGACACAGGCATAGGGAAAACATCCTGGAATCTAGTTATTGACTTTGATATTGGCTAAAACAACATCCACTTGCTTTGATTCCCCATTGAAGTTAGGTATGTTTGCCTGTGTACAAGTTTGAGTTCAATTCCAGAGAGAGCCGCTCAGGTCCAAGATATAGATCATAATCAGGGAGCTCTGGTTCACAAAGTCCTTAGTTCAGTTTCATGCTCTTTTCATACAGCAGAAGCCTAATACTTGAATAAGTGCAACTCCTTGTCAATATACGCATGTCACCCACACTTGTAAACACATATCATCTCAATTTCTGCTTTCTGCTTTTGCTTGTACCATGAATTGGGTCCTAGGCCTTGCTTGAACATTTGGTGCTCAGCGTCTCTTGCCTGCTTTGAAAAGCACTTGCCACTGATTTCCCATAAATTTAACACTGGTGAAGAATTTAACACTGGTGCATTTTCTTACTATCCTGATTGTCTCATCCTTTGGAACCAAATTCCTAGTTGCTTCCTTCGGTCACACTCTGTAGTCTGCTGTACCTTTTTAATGTTGAGACCTTGGGTATGCCTAACTCTAAATAATTCCTTTAAATGACCTTCATAGACATTAGCAATAACTAATAAAAGCTATTCACTTGGCTACAGGGATCTGAATAAATAATATTTTTTACAATATATTTTTAAAAGATTATTTAATAATATTTAGAGATATTATTAGTTTACCAATAAAAGAAAAGTCTCAAGGCTGATGTTAACATTCCTGTTGCAGGGGACGCTTTGGATAAAACTGAAGAACGGCTGGCCTATGGCATAGAGAACAACAGTACTTTGCTGGAATGTACCCCACGATCTCTGCAAGCAAAAGTTATCTGGTTCGTACAGAAAGGACGTGACACAAGAAGAGAGGAGGTAATTCATAGCTGAATATTAACACCATGGGGTATTGCATATAGTGGGCAATTAGTAAATAGATGGTATATTTGGACTTAAAAGAAACAGTGTATTCTGCTATACATGTCATTAAAAAAGTGGGGTTATTTATTATGTGTGACTTATATACATATAAATATTTTTAAATATATACACACATAGATTGTTATACATATCTACATTTACATGCATAATTATATATATATACACACATATATATATATATATATATATAATTTAGATCCTGCAAACTGAATTTTTATTAAGGCGATACTTCGAGCTTCATGATTATAGTGTCATATTGTCAAAACAATAGTCTTAAATTGTAGTACCCAAGGCAATGTTCCAGAAAAATAGTAAACTTAAATACCATTGACACATACACCTAAGACATATGGATAATATAATTAAAACAGCAATAGCAGCAGTATTAAGCTGGTTGTTTGATAAAGCTATTAAACCATGCATGAGACATCCACCCAGGGGTTCCACTATTGTCCACTGGGAACAAAAAAGGCATCAGCTCTTTAGTCCTTTTAAGCAGGTTTAGTGGGGGAAATTTTATTTCTATAATCATTTAAATAATTAAGGAAAAATGAGTTGGGTGATTTTTATAGATGGAAGGATAGGCAACATTTACAACACACACAGAGAATAATTTAGAGTCAGTTCCTCACACAAGAATGTGAGTGTAGGCAGTAGGTTGTATGTAGGAAAAGGTCAAGGACATGAAGCACAGGAGGTCAAGATCGAGCATCATTGACGTTGAAGTGATTTCTGGATATCACAAAAGTGGATTTATAAAAATCGAAAGTAGAAGAAAATCTGGTTATATTAAAAAGAGATAGATCTTGATGACTATTGGAGAAATGGCCCTTGGTAAAGAGAAGGTTGCAAGTTGACTGAAGGAAAGAAATTCTAGATACCTGCCTTAGGACACAAGGGAGGAGTAATAGGTGTAGAGCAGATGGAATGAGTCAATGAAGCCTCCACCTCTGTTTGGCACTGGAGACCAAACATTTGTTATTGGAAGCCAAAACGACTCAGTCCAAATGTAGAGCATATTGACATTTTATGCTTTTTTTTCGCTAGCCTATTGTGGAACTAAAAAAATCTAACATGTTTTTGGTTCCAAATCATAGAGTACATTCTGGGAGATGATTCAATGTGTAAATCCTAGGTTCCTGGGATAGCTATTAGAGAGAAAGGCACCTCAAGCAAAAAAAGGCACCTTAGCAAAGTCTATTCGAGATAATATAGAAAAAGGCAATCAGGAAACAAGTCTCCTACATTTTATGATGTCATAAGAATAAACACATGTCCAAAATGTTATAGCATATTGCACTGAAATAAATTGCTGATTTAACACTAAAGTATTTTCCATTCCAGAAATCTGAGGTGAAACTGTTTTTTAAATTTCATCATAACTCACTTGCCAGGGGAGGACCTAGGAAAAATTTGTAGTTCCTCCACTTGAATGGCTTCAGAAGACAGAAGTAATTTTTTCATCAGTAGTTTTCTTCACTCAGATTGTTCTGTTTCTTATTTGGAACTCACCATAATCTGACTTATTTGGAAAGCTTTACCAAGTCATTTTGACATGCGGTATCCATCACAATGTTCAATTTTAAGTTTCTTTCTCACACTGTTGATATAACCTACGAGTACTTCTCCTTTACCCAAATTTTAGTCCCTACTTTCAACTACATTCAAATATCCTTAACTAATATATTTACTGATATTTGAAATGTTTAATTTACAATCTGCATTACGAGTTTTGTCATTATCAGACAGTACTTAATTTCTATAGACATAGCAATGTATATTGATTTATTCACAATCCAAAACAGAACAAAACACAAAATTGTTGACTCCAACAAAAGCTGAATCTGTGTTCTATATACACAAACAGAATAACTTTGCTTATGTGTCCTTTTAAAGTTTTTTGGAGTCTGTTTAGATTCTTTTTCTTTTTAGTTTTTAAGAGTCCAGAGTTTTATTTAAAGAGTATTTTTGCATTTATTTTAGTTAATATGAGACATATAAGAAAATAATTTTATTATCAAATATTGACCATATAAAGGATGGTTGAGTTCACTTACTTCAGTCTTACCTCATATGGACATGCTTTCTAGAGTACCCCTGGCAATGGCTGTCTAGACTCAGCATGGACCCTGTAAGCCACAGTCATTTATGTGCAGTCAGACCATAGCCTTTGTAAAAAATTTTGATCTTCATATATACATCTTCCTTTTATTGAACTGAAATTTTTGAGTCTGGAGCATCTGCCTGCAAATTCAATTTCAGCCCTCTGTAGTTATCTGAAAACCACATATTCAGGTGAATAAAATTTTTGCTCAGATGAATATTCAGAACTACTGCATAGCTGCATTGCTAGAAAGCACCTAGCATTTCAGTTATCTAGTTTCTAAATGAGATTACTACAATTCTCTCAACGATGTATTTTATAGTCCCTGCTTCCTTAAATACCACACATGACACATAATCTCTATACGTTTTATTAATTTCATAAATATTTATTGAAAGCCTATTTTATACGTACTTCACAAAGGAGTGTTTTCCTTTGGCTTGATGACCTGGTAAGTTGTGATGTGCATCTGTTACTCTGAAGTCCTGAGGGAAATGATTTAATAGATGGGGCTGTTTTTAACACGCATCTGCTGCACACAGGAACTGTGGTAGGTGCCTTACCTTATTATTCTTAGTTCTCACACCTGCACTTTAGATGTGATAATCCTCATCTTACAAATGCAGAAACTAAAAGCATTGCTCATAACAAAGTCGATGACAGACCAAAGATTTGAACCAGGCATTCCTGACTGCAAAGCTGAACTGTTTCATATTTATTTATCATATATGTAACTAGGAATTTGCTGCATGCATTTTATATAATATGCCATCTTATCCTAAAAAAGTATTTATAGATGAGGTAATTAGCACAGGACTTCCCTGATTACTCAGAGCTGGTAATGTAGATTTAAATCCAGGTTTCTGTGTTCGTTCTACTAAACCACAGAACCTTCTGCAATCAGAATTCAAAGTGCAATTTCAGATTCTTTGGGACATGGGCAAATGGAAAACTGTTCACAGCAGAAGTTCTGGAATTTGATTTTTGAAAAATGTTCCTGATGTCAGCTTGAGAGACATATAGCTACAGATGTAGATGTAGATATAGGTATAGGTACAGGTACAGGTAGATACAGGTACAGGTACAGGTTCAGGTACAGGTACAGGTTCAGGTACAGGTATAGGTACAGATACAGGTATAGGTATAGGTACAGGTATAGGTACAGGTTCAGGTACAAGTATAGGTATAGGTATTGATGTCTTTCCCATCAGAATTTAGTGGAGCATACTGCTGCAGCCTTGGTGGCAAAGTCACTACTCCTCATGTTTAGCTGTCTGAGGACCTGCCAATAATTTGAACAGTTCCCATTCTAAGCATTAATATCAGGAGTCATTATTATATGATGTATATACTGGGGTGCCAAAAAAATGTATACACATTTTAAGAGATGGTCAACGTTGCTCAAGCAGTCATTTGCCGTAATCAGAAGTGTCTGGACGCTATGGTAACCACTTTCAGCACCTCTTGTAATTGCAGAAGTCAAACGTGACTTGTATTCATCTTTTTTTATTGGTATGTATTAAGCATTACAATTTTAATACAGTTTTTTCCTTTCTTAAAATGTGTATACATGTTTTTGGGCACCCCTGGTGCATCAATGTATTTCCGTTCTCAAATTGTCTTTTCAGGCTTCTGCTCTATGCCTGTTTATACAAGAAGGATTCTATATCACAATAAGTGTGCTCTATCATTTGAACCTACGCAGATATAAAACTCAGGGTACTCTACCTCATATTCTTGGGCTTTTAACTAACATAATGCTTTACTCAGGGCCGGCCAAGTGGCTCAGTTGGTTAAGAGCTCACTCAAGAGTTTGAGCTCTGAGCAACAGCTGTTTGATTCCCGGCCCAACCTGAGCTGCCAACAGGTGGCAGGATGGCTCAGCTAAAAAAAATAAAAATAAAAAATAATCTTTACTCATTCATTTGAAATGTTCTAGCATCTATGATAGAGCACCAACTACCCATTTTGCTTTCATTGAACTTGTATTCTGGAGAACAGAGAAAGATGAAAGATGATAATGATAACAAAGCAACTAAATTATTAGTATATTTAATGTATCAGATGATGATAAGGAGAAAAATACAAGAAAGATTATTTGCAGGGAGAGGTTGCAATTTTAAAGGGGTGGTTATGGGCGGTCTTACTAAGAAGGTTACCAACAAAGTGACATTTGGAAGAAGATTTGAAAGAGGTGAGGTAGTAGACCATGTGACAGTGTTGAGGAAGGAGATTTTAGACAATGGGAGAAGAAGGTGCAAAGGCCCTGAGGGAGAAGCATACCTGATATATTCAAAGAACTTGAACATGAAGGGCAGTGTGGCTGGAGGGGATGAGCACTAGGGAGACTAATAAACTGTGTCAAAGGGTGAGGCAAAGAACAGCTCAAGCAGGGATTTATAAGCCCTTAGAAAGTGCCTTTGGTGTTTGCTCTGAATTAAAAAGAAAGCCATTGGGTTGTTTTCAGAAGAGCCATGACATGATTAAAATTCGCTTTTAAAATGATCACTTTGGTTATTGTATTAAAAATATAGTATGTGAAGGCGGGGATAAGAGTGGAAGCAGATAATCATTGAAATGATAGGGACATAAATCTTATGTTCAATGACACAACATTAACTCTTAATGTGCCCTCTACCTTCAGGGTCAAATAGTGTGAATCTGACTATGTCATACACATAATGGCAATGTGCATATAGTCTCTGGTATTACTGAGACTTGTGAAGGCTGTTTAACATCTCAAATGGAATACTTTTTCAACCTTACACTTTCCTTCCTGTTTAAGTGTCTGCAATTAATGTTTTCAACTCAATAAATTATCACATATAGC